TTCCAGCCGATCGCAGTTGTCGTAATCATAGCTGAATCCGAACAACATTTTGTTTATGTTATTCGCAACAAACACCTGAAATCGTCCTTTGTCCAATCGAATTATTAGGTCCGTGCATAATAAACAAAAAAAAAACAAGAATTCGAGAACAAATTTGAGATATATTTACAACGAGGGGTTACAATAGAAAAAACAGTAACCTGTCGTAACAGTAACTATGGTTCGTTCTGCCTCTTTCGTTAGTCACTTAACCACAATCTGTCATCACCCCAAGATCGTCAGTGATTAGTGATTTCTGTACCCATGTGATCCCACAAAAAATCGAGGAGTGTGATTGCGAGGAACTACCTCAGCCTTAGTATTTTCCTAAAGAAGCAGCATCAGCTGTTACTTATTGGGTACTTCCACTCCAAAACTACTTTCAAAAGGATGGGGCTAATGGTAAGATGATATTGCTACCCTCTAATCATGTATTCGGGAGGTTCTCGAACACCAGTCCATGAAGTTTCACGAGACTGACATTGAGCAGCTACCAAACCAATAGGTAGCAGGGGTGGCAAGCAACAGTGATTGGGTACACTTAAGTCGGTTCAACATTGAGTAATAAGTTCGAAGAAAACTGTCTGCCAAGAGAACTTTGCATCGACTTCAAGGAGGTTTTATTTCCTTATGATTTCTTTGGACCTCTTCGATAAAATAAATTTCTCATAGTTGGCAAATATGCAATGATAGTATGCGTGAGACGCACCTCGATTGGCCCTTTCAAGCAGACCTCTTCTTTGTTGCTCATGGAAGACAACTGTTTGAGAAAATCCTCAGCTGAAAGCAGCACCTAAAAGAAGTTGTAAGTTTTTGGCCCTCATTTTTCTCAGAAGAAACATTCCCCTGCTGCAAAACTATTATACACGGTTAGAATGTGACTTAAACCTTTTTTAGGTTACAAGTTAGTCAAAACTGGAAGAGAAATGCCAAGATTCATTGGANATTCGGTAGTCGTAAAAGCGAAGGGGCATGGAAAGGGTGCCATAAAGACGAAACTTCCTTTTTTGCCATTCGGCAGAGCGTCCTTCTTGTGAGGATTCTGATATAGTACGCACCTGTTCCACCATAAGGTTCTTTCCCATTTCCATACTTTTGAGCATTTGATGAGCCATTCGACGTTGCTCTTCCCATTTATAACCCTACAATATTCAGCTGTTACACGAACAACATGATTGTAACATAAAACAAGAGCAATAGTTCGAAACTTGAAACTACCTGAGAGAAAATTACTCCGCGATTTGTGGCATTCTGAAATATGGTCTCAGGGAAAGTCTCACATCGACAAGCGTAATCGTCCCCTCAAGAACCTTCATTGAGCATAAGGTAAAGGTTGTTTTACGTTAGCAACATGATTTGTTCTCTTCTTTTTCTCCTTACAATGTAAGTTCGTTGGATATTCTGAGCGGAACGGATGGTTTAGGTGACTTTAGCTGACTCAAGGGTTGCATCCTACCTTTCTTGAGTAAGCTGGTAGGATGAGGATAGGGAACATTGTGGAACTTTGAAAAACTAGTAGGATAAACACATAAACACATCTACAAATGGGTAGGGAATGTGATAAAGTGATACCGAAAGTAGTAGGGTTTATACTAAACGTGGTACATTTTTTCGGGAGAATCTGCGTCGGGGATCAAAGTTCATGCTCCTAAGTCTAATTCATCACAGCCACTTCGAAAGTGCCGGTTGCTCATTGAAGTAATGAGAGGCAATTTACTTGGACGCAGACAAGTTGGGTTGGACGCAATGCTATAAAAAATACGCAATGCCAATCCAAATAAGATCCATGCTGGAACTAGCAAAAGTTGAGAACACAACCATTCATGACGGGCTCCAACTCGGGGAAAATTCAGAGCATAAGTCTGCCTGGCCTTCTAAATAGTAGAGGAGGGCAAGAATGAATAGGAGCTAACAGAGGTACAAAAGACGTGGCAGGGGAGAGCATTTAAATGTCCGAAAAGTTCAAACCGACAATCCTAACCAAAAGCACCATCTATGCACAGTCTATTCATAGTTCCGCTCCCTTTAGTCCCTTTAGCGATAATCCCGTGTGGTAGGATTTACGGTGTGGGGATGGTGGTTGGCGCGCCGATTTATATCGATCTGTTGAGTAATTAACAACTTTGTTCACTTCCGACGTACAGGGTTCAAACTTCACGGAATTTGAAGAGGCGTGGTAGGAGTATTGCAGTAAATGTAGACGGTTAAAGGTCAACCGATTTCGATTAGTGTCGGTTTATACTAGACGAAATTGGGTCTATGACTACTCATATTTTCGAGCCGAAAAGGTAAGGGGAATGGCTCCTCATTTTATCTTGACACAATTAGGAGGAGAACCCAGCGTGAGCCGGGCAATCGGCCTAGTAAATAATATCGGAACTTACCATTCTTTAAGAATGCTTCTTTGGCATGTTCGTAGCCAGCTATAACCACATGCGGCTTGGGCAACCATATAGTAAAAATACCACCGTATATTTCGGAATATTTTTCGATTTCTTTGTTGATTTTGCTAATACTCAGCTGGATAAATACATAATTTTAAATCAGGCTCGGCTTGCAATTGAATAGCCTCAAAATGCTCACCGTAAGCAGGTTCCCAACAATTGGATAAGGACGTGGTCCTTTTGGATATTTCTCAACTTTTTCATAGTACAGCCAAACCAAAAGGTATAGAATAGCTACTGAGTAAGGGATCAGCCAAAATAGAATCATTCTTCAACTAATCTGAAATGGTAGCTCTTCGTTAAATTGGTTGTTTTCTAGATGTCATAGCACATGTTCGTCTACGGCGTACTCTCTTCCAAGGGCTACGACGTTGTAGGACACAGGGGTAACGGCTCAAACGAAACTTTCTACATAATACCACAACTGGTTAGTGGTAAATTAGTACAGAGGAACTGCGAGTTGATCTCTTTTCGAAACTGATGATACCAGTCTTTCGAATGGTTAGATCTAAATTGAACATTTCAATTGAATCACGATCTGTCAATCAGTTAGCCTTCACGTAGCCATCAATTTCCATAAGAATCATTTTCTTGATTTCCTTGATTATTTGAATAGGGTGAAGATGAAATAGAATGGCAGTCATGAGTAAATAGAAGAATATGGCGATTTAGAAACAAAGCCTTTGAGAAATAACATAGGCACTGACAAATCTTCGGACCTCCTCTGACCCTGTTCCCACATCGGATCTAATTCACAGCTCAAGGGCATATGCAATGAAGGAGGGAGATCAATTTAATAACAAAAAATGAAAGATAAACAATGAAGATGAGAATATCCAAAGGGATATAGAAAGTGCGCACATAGACTCACAGTGAGATAAAGACCACAGTAGAGATGAAGACAAGTCGGCGAGATGGGATCGGACCATCCTGATGATGGGGCCGCTCGAAGTCAGTGAAGGTCAAGGGGCTGAGGTGACACCTCGATTGCATATTATTCCTTTTGATTGTTAGTTTCCATTTTGCTGATCGATCTGTTAGGAGGAATTATGTAAATTTCTTGATAAAGAATAAGAAAAGTCCTAAAATATGGTCAGTGCTGTATGAATTAATTACTGGCTTGTAAACACAGTAAGAGGAGTGAAACATTTGAAGTCAAGGGCGCATATAAAAACAACAGGCAAGTGTGAAATAGTGCTATAAGATATTCAAAAGTAGATAATAATGATAATCAAATTGAAATGATGGATAGCTCGTTTCGCATTGCAACCAAGTGAACAAACTGTCCTCTCCGTCTTTCCCGATAGTTTAGGGTTCAGAAAAGTCATTTTACTTGTGCTACCTTCTCATCCTTGAAAGGATTGCTAGAGTAAAAAGGAGTTGATCCGATAATAGTCGGATTCCCAAGGAAGTGGCTGGAGGAATAAAGGTGAAGGTTTATGGTCAAAGTAGGGGTGAAAGTCCATCGGCTCCAGTGAATGGGTTTACCTACCTAGACCCGGTTGTGAGGGGTATGACAACCAGAAAAGAATAAAAACTAATAAATAATGATCTTCAGGTTTATAGAATGAGGTGTTAAAGTGAGAAATTACAGCGGAAAAGAAGGAAACAGAACGAAATCAATTCATGAATCGAATTTTCTGATTGATAAATTCCTTTAGTGCATTTTGTTGTCTTCCTTGAAGCAATAATAACTCTCTCCAGGCACCCCAGAGGCAACTGTTGAATATATTCACTTATCCGTAACTTTAGACTTTGAGCAATCTTGAGAATTGAGGGAGAGCTATCAGAGGCAAGACTATAGAAAGCGAAGTAGAGACCTCTCTATCACCCGAATGAAACCAATGGAGATTATAGTCAATGTCCTTCATCGCACTCAACGATTTCGGCAACGTCGTCCGACCTTTCGACTGCCGGGAAACTATAACGATAGCGACTGTTTAGGCAAGGTCACAGTAATTGTAGCGAGTATTACAGATCACCCGAAAGACAACAATCAATCAGATGTCTCCCCATTAATTTCTTTTTGAAGTATCTAACGAATGACTCTTTTTGATGGTTCAAGGTCATTTCAGTTTCATACAGTCCTCTGAATTCCAATATTCGGAGTCTCTAGATCATTGCCCATGATACAAAGTAGGATAAGAAGTCTGTTTTTTGAGCGGCCCATTCAGACCATGATCTCAATGATTTCCGTCATCGCACAATCTCATTTCATTACTGTCTTTTCCGTTTCAAGTCGGACTCATTCTCAAGCAGACCATGATCGACAGACTAACGAATCTCAAGGTGTTGAATTTACCAATGTTTATTAGGGTGTTCACAGCGTAAATACACAGACACTAGTCAAGAACAATGATATGATCAGTCTCCGGTCTTCAAGAAATAGTCATAGGAAGTATAATTATTTATGGACGATATCAGTGCACAACAGGTACTAATCGAAGTGGTTGCATTTTTGGAAGAAGAATTCCAGCAGGAATCGGTTCAAGATCGATGTCACGTCCTTTTGCAGGTTCGATCTGAATGAAGTTTATTATCAGTTGTCAGGTAATAGGAGCTGTAGGAACGTGCGATATAGGGGATATACGAATTTAGAACTAGGACACCAAAAATGTAGTGTAAAAGATTGGCATCAGAGATCGAGGTGCTGAGAACGATAGTACGGTAGAAGCACTCGGCTCTTACAGTCATCCAGCTATGGGTCTGGCTCGATCAGTTGCTCGTGATGCAACGCAACCACCCCCTCCCTCCTCCAAGAATGGGTAGTTGACTCGGTTTCGCCGCACGCGGCGGTCGCGGAACAGTTGTCTCGTTATTGCAGTTTTAACGTTCTTCATACGGCTCGATCAATATGCTATTATTATTTTTGGCATGATTCTACTGCTACTTCTTTTGTTCCTTACATTCCTTTATATTTCACCGTAAGGTCGCTGTAAAAGTCAAATGCCCGTACCAAAATTCCATCCCGACAAGTGAACGGTTGACTTCTGTTTGGAAATGCAGCGGGTATCCGCAGGCCTCGAATCCGTTCCGATGGTCTAGGAGTCACGCTGTACAGTTTTTGATCTCGTTTTCATTTTTTCTCATTTGTTACCTTCCGCGGAGAGAAGTGGTTGCGGTTAGTTTTGTCTCGGTTCCAGTCAGCCAATGATTTCTTTGATTCCTACGTCTTTGCAGAACTGGAGAGCGTTTGTATGATGTATGTGCAGAGTTTGCGCCGAAGTGGGTGGCAATGAAAAATGGCTACTGCAAATGCCTGATGCAAGAGCCATTCACTGGCTAGCCTCGCTCCTAATTTTATCGTCATCAAGAGAGTCTTTTTGTCACTTCGAAGTTTTGACGTCCTACGTGGACATTCAAGGTCTCGAAATTTTTTTACCAAGCTTTTTTGTGAATATAATTATAAGCCTCTTTTGCATTCATCCCGCGATTTTTTCCAAATCTACTGCAAAAAACCGGAGAGGTCAGCCTCTTCCAGCCGCTTCCTTCAATTTTCCATTAATTGACTGTACTCTTAGAACCCTAAGTTCCTTTGAGGATTCTCCAAAAGAGGAGGATAGAAGGAAAAGTTTGCTGACGTAGATCAAATCCTTTTTTGGGGTACGCCCCAGCGCTCAACTCCCATTCAGAGTCGTTCTATTAATTTTTGGATGGGTATTTCACCTTTACCTAAGGTGCGATAGCCAGCTGGTGTACGAGTTAGTGCATTTTTACTCCCAGAAAAATTAGCCCACCCCATAGTGCTAGGAATGATGGTCGAAGGGAAGGATGTGGAGGCGATGTTATTTATGAACTTCTTAAGAATTTATTGATCTGATCGAAATTATATAGTCATGCCAAAATTGAATTGAATTGAAAGAAAGGTCCAGTCACTGCTCGCTAGTGAAGTCATTTCAGGGATTTGTTCGCTTTACTTCAAATTGTGACCCTAACAAATAGAATTACCTGGCTTATTTGCCTCGCTAGAAGATAAAGGGACCATGATTTCCGGTAGGAAGTTACTGTCATTGCTCCCAGTACAACGTTGTATACGTCATGCGGATTTCCCTNTCTAACGCTGAGCCATTTTTTATTACGACTGACAGGTTTTACTTTTTTGACTCGGATTTTTTCGACATTTGCCGTTGACCCATGGGAGAGAGTCTTCATTCACGTATATGTAGTGGTATGGCGAAAAGAGGTCAATGCGTACAACTCTTAAACGACAGCGGTAAAGTACAATACAGGCGAAAACTTCATGCTGAAGATAATATAAGGGGTTTAAAATGTTGGCATTGCTCCAAAAAGAACACTACACTAGTTTATTGATGACGAATGACGGCCCTGTTTTTTGTTTATCTACCTAGTCCTTTTCATTACCACTAGAAACGTGATGACGTCACTTTGCTTATGGTGCTGCTTGTTTACCATGACATAAATGAATACCGAGCAACCTTACAGAGTATAAAGAACCTACGGAAAGTGAAGGTCCGAAGGTAATTGCCTATCTGATTTTTCCAGAAGTATTGGGTGCTTTTATCGAGATAAGAGCGTTTCAAGTAAGTCCGATAATTACTACACAGTTACACCCTCCACAGCAGTCAAAGGTGACACAGTCGAAAAGGCGCTACTGGTACGTAAATTTTTCAAACAAAATAACCAGTAATACCAGAAAAGTAGTGGAAGCGTTTTCCAATCCTCAATGAATTTCTGAGCAGACCTTTGGTACCTTCAGCTGATTTGATTTTACAATTTCCTATCATAGGCGGTAACAGACATCATAGGTGATTACTGCTATTCAAGGTGGTAGGGTGGTAGATGAAAGGATCAACTCTTTGGGAGGCGTTGATTA